CCACTTGGAACTCAAGTTTCAAGGACACGCTCGCGACAACCCCTCCTCTTTAATATGACGAGCACAAAGAGAACTTAACGGGGACTGTGTCATTTTCAATGACTTGTTTTCAATACATATTGTCAATGTATTTTCAGGATATTTACATATTTGGTGGATTTAATGACAATTTCCCAGGAGTTAACAGTGTTTTTGGCGACTTGTGTAAACTAAGCCTCTGTAAGTACAAATACTAATTCAATATAAAAAATACTAATTCATTACCTGACTGAAACATATAATCATTAATTAATTAAAAAATACCATCATGCAATAATATAACGCTAATTATATATGAATAATTACTATAAGTTAGAGCTGTGTTCATATCTTAACTTGTACACTACATGTCTTAACTTACAAACTTCATGTCTTAACTTACAAACTTCATATCTCAACTTACAAACTTCATATCTCAACTTACAAACTTCATATCTTAACTTACAAACTACATATCTCAACTTACAAACTTCATATCTTAACTTACAAACTACATATCTCAACTTACAAACTTCATGTCTCAACTTACAAACTTCATATCTCGACTTACAAACTTCATATCTCAACTTACAAACTTCGTATCTCAACTTACAATCTTCATATCTCAACTTACAAACTTAATTACACTGAATAATATGCAGCTAGATGAGCCACTTTTTATATGGAAATTCAATGGGTTAGTTATGAAGTAAGACTTTGTATTTTTTCCTGAACATCATTTTTGATTTATTAAAATAAATTAGATAAATAATTAAATTGTTAATTAGGTTAAACATTGGACAAGAACAGTTTATTACTTTATTATATCAGACGATGTTCTCATGACATGTCTGTGGTTAGTTTCATGTTCGAATGGACCTTTCATTGGAAATAATTAAATAATAATCAGCAAACATATTTGTTCATCAAGCTCGTTAACATTTCTCATACATTTATTGGTAGCTGGAGGGGGGTATGGTTTTATTTTGCATGCAATACTTCTCATACATACAAGAAGCAGGAATAGATTGTAAATTGAGTCATACAAATAAATTAGGTTAATCTTCTAGTCCCACAATCAGACAGATAAGCATCTTCTATGTGTCAGTGGGTCCAGAATATGCAATAATTAAATTAAATGCCTGCCTTCTACATTGATATTCACAGCCAGAATGAAGTGGAAGTATCCATTGTTCACTGGAATGCCGGCAGACAGAAGATATGGACATACCACATTTATATTTAGAAATACTGCAAGTACTAATTATTAAAATCAGAAAAATTCTGAATATCATTTATAATTGTATAATTATTTTGTAATAATGTAATCTACACATATGCATTTCCATAATTTGATATGTAACACAGTGAAATAGAGAATATTATTTCATGTTCTTTGATATCGTGATGATTGACATTACAGTTTATGCTTTTGACTTCACAGGGACATATAATAATAATAATAATAATAATAATAATAATAATAATAATAACTTTATTGCATCCTTAGAAGTACAAATGTTCTTTTGGTTCACAGCAATAAATATATAAGTGATTAAAATAATATCAAAGTATGATAACGTAAAAAAATAGAAAAAAAGAGTCAAGCTATTATATCCAAAGAAAGCTCATTTCTTAAAATAAATGATTTATGTAAAAATTCCCCTAAAAGTTTTATTATATTTCTGTCATTACTTTTCATTAAATATGTGAATTTTTGCAGGTTGGTAATGATTTTTTAGGGAATAAAATATTGGAAATAAAATCATTTCTATCCGTTTGATATCGTGGGAAACTAAAAGAAAGTGTAATTCGTCTTCAACTTCCTGTAATGGGCATTGTTTACAAATTCTATTTTCTGATGGGGTTTTTAGATTGGTATGTCTGCCTTTTTCAATGGCTAGATTGTGACTACTTGTCTTGAATCTAGCCATTGATATTCTTTGATTATTATCCAAAACATTAATGTAATTTTCCAGATTGTAATTAATTTTAAATTTAATGTATGTTCTCAGTTTTGTTTTTTACGTTTGTCATATTCTCTCTCCAGTATGTTATGTATTGTTGTTTAATAGTGCTGCTAATTTCCTTAATATTTTGATGTGATAGCTGTGATGCATCTTTCAAGATATTTTTGACTGATGTTTTCCATTGTGCTTTTGACAAAGTCTGATCGCTTAACGCTATCTTTGTATAATTATTTTGTGACTTGTCTGTGACACGGGACCAGAACTTAATCATATTGATTTTCACTTCAGTTATCAATGGAAATTGATATTGTGATGATTGACATTACAGTTTACGTGTCTTTGAAAACACATAACAACTTAGATGTTTCTGACATTACAGATGTATATCATGGGTGGAGTAAACCAATGGACACATTTCAATGAAATGCATTCTGCCAAACTTATTAACCCATCTGAAAGAAAGAAGAGTGTACGTAAGTGATCCCTTGATTTCATCAATGTATACCTGATAAAGATGCATTAAAATCACAAATTGTAAATTACACCAATTGAGAAAGAATTACTCAAATATTTATCGTGTACATACTGTATATCCATATTTTATTCACATCATTTCTATGTATGTATGAAATGTCAATAGTCGTACAGTTCCAATGCATGGCCATGCACTTCCTACAGACGTGAATGCAAATGACAGTGACATGTGACTGACATTCAAAACACATGCTGCAATATATAATAACAACAGTACGTTTTGTTCATCAACAGTTTTAATGATCGATGACATCACGCCTAATGGAAAGTTTGACACAATGAGTGGCACCAGTATGAGAAGCACATGTAGGGCACCTCCCACGTTAAGAGATGGCACATTACCAGGTGAATGGTTCGCGGGAGGTGAAACAACATTCTCGCTTGACCAAAGTGTGCCGACATTAATCCCAGGTAGGTTAAACAAATTAAATTATATAAACAAAGAAGTTTATTTTAGCATATTTGCTTATGAAATGTATAGTTTGGGTATATGTGATTACTTAACTATAGACACTCAGAGGGGTGGTGGTAGATTTTTTCCATGAATGTTTTTTTTTTTAAATTTTAAAGTATATTACTTCATGGTTTAGGTGTAAAGACTTCTTATCTGCCAGAATTTTGTTTTAGAATTAAACAATGTCTCTGTGCAGATCTATGCCATTACTTTCAAGACGTTCTAATGGTCAACCTCTTACTTTCATTTCTTAGATGGTAACTTCCCATTATCACTTCCAGGATTGGGGTATGTATACAATATTGACATGTCAATAATGTCTTTCTTTATTGAATTCAGAACCAAAACTACAGTTTTTGTTGTTTTTTGCAAACTTACGCATCACATACTTTAATTTACAGTTCATCTATGCAGTCACATCTGTCCGAAACTCAGAGTAGTTATGATACTATGACAACTAATACGTTGCCATGCAGCAGAGGATTGCAAACTATGCCCTCATTGTTGAAACAGGTATATGTTTTTTCATCCAATGTCACCAAACAAAATTTTGAGACTAAAAAATAATTTTTACAAGAATGATTTACAAGAATAACCCAAAAATGATTCTGGGCCAGTGACTGCATTTTTCATTTGATGGCATTAATCTACTGTAATGAAATGACATATAATCTTCAATTCGACGTAAACATCCATATGTCAATTTTCAATGTACATGTAGTTTGATTGGAGGTCACATTTAAGTGACAATTTGCCAAAACTAATATGTGCTTAATATAGTATAGTCATACTTGTTAAATTGATGCAAGAAGAAGTGATTTTGTTTTGTTTTTTTAGTCTAATGTAGCCACATTATTTACATACAATCAATTTAGCCTTAAGCTGATACTGGGAATAATGCAGTGTATAATGACTGCTGAATATAATGTAAAATCATTACATTACATTACATTACATTACATTACATTACATTACAGAATGAAGAGCATGGTGACTTCAGTGGAGCACAAATTAATGCTGTCAGTCATGTGACCAAAGCATTTGAAATTCTACAAACCCGTTACAAAGACATTGATAGGTGGGAAACATAATATCTAACTGGTCGCTTTATATGTGTTATCTTCTTTTACATTTTAGTAAGAGTCAGTTCAATTATTCATTGTACACAATTAAAAAAGCTATGATTCATGAGTCAAAACACAATACAAGGATGTTTTATGCTTAGAACAATTCTAATGAATGCGGTTTTGATTAATGAATAAATTTGTACATTTCAGGGAAAGAGAGCTACTTGAAAACGAGAAAATGGCAATAACGAAAATTAGAGAAAAAATCATTGTAGAAAACAACAACAGACAAAAGGTTTTTATTCTCAAATAGCAATACCAATTGTGATTAGCGTCCTCTACCATCGACTACTAACCCAATCCAGGCAAATTGCTGACTATGTTTGACAAATACTGTGGTTGATCATGGTATCATGGATATAACCATAAACTACCATATAGTCAACTGTGACCATTAGTTAGTTAACCATGGCTTACCATGCAACAATAAACAATAATGTTGGATCATGCACTGCTTACAAGCATCTAACCCAGCAATGCCACTATGGTGCAGTGAAGGGGTCAAAAGTGAATCTAACCCAGCAATGCCACTATGGTGCTGTGAAGGGGTCAGACGTGAATCTAACCCAGCAATGCCACTAGGGTGCAGTGAAGGGGTCAAAAGTGAATCTAACCCAGCAATGCCAATATGGTGATTGTGAAGGGGACAAAAGTGAATCTAACCTAGCAATGCCACTATGGTGCTGTGAAGGGATCAGACGTGAATCTAACCCAGCAATGCCACTAGGGTGCAGTGAAGGGGTCAAAAGTGAATCTAACCCAGCAATGCCAATATGGTGATTGTGAAGGGGTCAAAAGTGAATCTAACCCAGCAATGCCACTATGGTGCTGTGAAGGGGTCAAAAGTGAATCTAACCCAGCAATGCCACTATGGTGCTGTGAAGTGGTCAAAAGTGAATCTAACCTAGCAATGCCACTATGGTGCTGTGAAGGGGTCAGACGTGAATCTAACCCAGCAATGCCACTAGGGTGCAGTGAAGGGGTCAAAAGTGAATCTAACCCAGCAATGCCAATATGGTGATTGTGAAGGGGTCAAAAGTGAATCTAACCCAGCAATGCCAATATGGTGCTGTGAAGGGGTTAAAAGTGAATCTAACCCAGCAATGCCACTATGGTGCTTTGAAGGGGTCAAAAGTGAATCTAAGCCAGCAATGCCACTATGGTGCTGTGAAGGGGTCAAAAGTGAATCTAACCCAGCAATGCCACTATGGTGCTGTGACAGGGTCAAAAGTGAATCTCATCCAGCAATGCCACTATGGTGCTGTGATGGGGTCAGAAGTGAATCTAACCTAGCAATGCCACTATGGTGCTGTGATAGGGTCAAAAGTGAATCTCATCCAGCAATGCCACTATGGTGCTGTGATGGGGTCAGAAGTGAATCTAACCTAGCAATGCCACTATATGGTGCTGTGAAGGGGTCAGAAGTGAATCTAAACCAGCAATGCCACTATGGTGCTGTGATAGGGTCAAAAGTGAATCTCATCCAGCAATGCCACTATGGTGTTGTGAAGGGGTCAGAAGTGAATCTAACCTAGCAATGCCACTATGGTGCTGTGATAGGGTCAAAAGTGAATCTAAACCAGCAATGCCACTATGGTGCTTGTGAAAGGGTCAAAGATGAATCTAACCCAGCAATGCCACTATGGTGCTGTGATGGGGTCAAAATTGAATCTAACCTAGCAATGCCACTATTGTGCTGTGAAGGGGTCAGAAGTGAATCTCACTCAGCAATGCCACTATGGTGCTTGTGAAGGGGTCAAAGATGAATCTAACTCAGCAATGCCACTATGGTGCTGTGATGGGGTCAAAATTGAATCTCACCCAGCAATGCCACTATGGTGCTGTGAAGGGGTCAGTAGTGAATCTAACCCAGCAATGCCACTATGGTGCTGTGAAGGGGTCAAAAGTGAATCTAACCCAGCAATGCCACTATGGTGCTGTGATGGGGTCAAAATTGAATCTAACCTAACAATGCCACTATGGTGCTGTGAAGGGGTCAGACGTGAATCTAACCCAGCAATGCCACTATGGTGCAGTGAAGGGGTCAAAAGTGAATCTAACCCAGTAATGCCAATATGGTGATTGTGAAGGGGTCAAAAGTGAATCTAACCTAACAATGCATCTATGGTGCTGTGAAGGGGTCAGACGTGAATCTAACCCAGTAATGCCAATATGGTGATTGTGAAGGTGTCAAAAGTGAATCTAACCTAACAATGCCACTATGGTGCTGTGAAGGGGTCAGACGTGAATCTAACCCAGCAATGCCACTATGGTGCAGTGAAGGCGTCAAAAGTGAATCTAACCTAGCAATGCCACTATGGTGCTGTGAAGGAGTCAGAAGTGAATCTAACTCAGCAATGCCGATATGGTGATTGTGAAGGCGTCAAAAGTGAATCTAACCTAGCAATGCCAATATGGTGCTGTGAAGGGGTCAGTAGTGAATCTAACCCAGCAATGCCACTATGGTGCTGTGTGTTTCAATACAGGCTTATAAGTGAAAGTAGTCACGCAGAGACCGTGGTCTGGATGCGTTGCAGACGCAACATTTATTAAGCCGACATCTTGGGTAAAAAACAACAACAACACAGAGCATGCGTGTAACGGTCATAAAGGTCATGCAAACAAAAGAACATCAGCATATTGTAACATCCTTCCTTTTCAAAGAATGAGTTGATGAACTACAATTTGTT